CAGCCATGCAGCATCTCAGGCCCACCCAGGCGCACAGAGCCAGAATCGGTATTTTACTGAGTCCCCTAGGGATTTGTGTGCTTGTTGAGGTGGGAGAAGCTTGCTCTGGGCCAGAAACTGTGCAGCTGCACATGGAAGCGAGGTGGGGCAGGTTGGAGGTGGCCTGGGGGACTGGAGGAGGGCAGAGACAGATAGACAGACAAGCAGACACCAGTGGGAACCAATTCAGGCCACTGTGTATAAAGGCAGTGGTTTCCAACTTGGGGGCAGACTCGTGGTGAGCCCCGGGGGACAGTCCTGGGAGGATAGAGGAGGACTGCGGCCCCAGCCTGGGGAGCCCAAGGTTGGCATCCCCAAAGGCAGGCAGGAGTGAGCCAAGCAGGGAACAACGTCCCAGGAAGCAGGAACAGAATATGCGAGTGTCCAGAAGTAGACAAGGGCACGATCCATGGGAGGAAGAAGAGGGTGGGAGGTCAGGGCAGGAACACGGTGGGGAGAAGCCAAAGATGAGCTGTGGGGGGCCTTGGAGGCGGTTATGGAGTTTAAATGTTATTCTGAGAGCACCAAACAGCAAGTCTGCACCCTAGAGGGCTGTGCAGGCCGGGCCACCTAGGAAACGCTGGAGCCCCTAGCCCCTTTCTGCAGGCTGTCGTGGACCAGCCATGGCCCATCTTGGGAGCTGGTCAGCCATGCAGCATCTCAGGCCCACCCAGGCGCACAGAGCCAGAATCGGTATTTTACTGAGGCCCCCAGGGATTTGTGTGCTTGTTGAGGTGGGAGAAGCTTGCTCTGGGCCGGAAACTGTGCAGCTGCACATGGAAGCAAGGTGGGGCAGGTTGGAGGTGGCCTGGGGGACTGGAGGAGGGCAGAGACAGATAGACAGACAAGCAGACACCAGTGGGAACCAATTCAGGCCACTGTGTATAAAGGCAGTGGTTTCCAACTTGGGGGCAGACTCTGGGACAATGCTGCTACACCAGCTGGGATCAGAACCTAGCTCAGCAGCTCACCAGCTGTGTGATCATTGCAGTTCCCTCCTCTCCCAAGACTTCTCTTTCCATGTCTTTACAGTGGGCATGATGTGCACAGCTGTCTCATCGAGAGGCAGCCAGGACTGAGTGTGGTGGGGTGAGACTGTCAAAGGGCTTGGCTCCCTGTGGGGCACACAGCATAAGTCCAGGACCTGTCAGCTGCTGCCATTGGTTATGACACCAAAGGAGGGAAGGGAGGTAGAGGCTTCCAGCTGGGGCCTGTTCTCCAGGGCCTCGCTATTCCCAGTGTGGCCCACGGGACAGCAGCAAGGGCTTCCCCAGGAGCTTGTAAAATGCCATGTCTCTGGACCTGCCCTGGCCCTGCCGACTTGAAATCTGCATTCTCCCTGCAGCTGAGGAGCGCTGAGCTTGGCAGCCAGTGGCATGATAGAGTCCCAGGGAGCTTTTTACTTATTTATTTATTTATGTATTTATTTATTTATTAAAAGATGACTGGTAAGGGGATCTTAACCCTTGACTTGGTGTTGTCAACACCACGCTCTCCCATGTGAGCCAACCGGCCATCTCTATATAGGGATCTGAACCCATCGACTTGGTGTTATCAGCACCACACTCTTCCAGTGAGCCACAGGCTGGCCCCCCAGGGAGCTTTTAAAAAATACTTTTGCCTGGGTCCCACCCCAGAGGTTCCAGGGTAACTGATCTGGCATGTGGCTCAGCACTGTGATTTTAAAAGCTCCTGGGGGATTTTAATGTACAGGACAGCCTATCCTTCTTCAAGGAGAAGAGAAAGAGCTGGGGCTGGAGGAAGAGAGAGTCCAAGACCAGGCCTGTGGGAGTAATAGGCACCTTTCTTGGGCATTCACTATGTTCCCAGCACTGTTTAGAGCCCCTTTACATGTATTCATGGTTAGTTAATCCTCACAACCACCCCATTTCACGGATGGGGAAATCAAGGCACAGACAGGTTAGTTAACTTGCATAAGGTCATATGGGTAGCAAGTGGCAGAGCAGGAATTTGAACCTAGAACTTTGGACCCAGGAGCCCACGCTTTCAACCATCAGGCAGACCTGGAACTTCTTGGAGTCCCAAGCAGCACAGACCTTTAGGGCATGGGACTGGGTGGCAGGGTGGAGCAGACCTCACTCCTGTCTCTCCCACTCCTACCCTCCCCATGCTTGGTCTCCTGTCTCCAAAGCCCTGCCCTACAGAGGAGTCTTGCAGCCCTGAGGTTGGGATCGTCAACAAATAAACCACAGAGAGAAGCTGCACAGAGCCCCCAGACTTCCCATGGCCGGGCTTCCCAAACCTCCTTGAACTGTGACCAACCGTAAGAAAGACACTTAGCATCCCAACCACGTATAGAAACGCTACGCATAAGGCATTTCAATTTTATAGTCTGTTCCCTTCTATTTGTGCCTTTGTTAAGTGTTGGTCACAGCCACCCAATAGATTTTATGACACATCTCAACTCAGGGTTTGAAAAACAGCGATCTGGGCCGAAGTCCTCACAGATGAGGCCATGTTTGGAATTTGCTGTAAAATTCTCCAGTAAAACAACAACGAAAAGTGGTGCGGGGCACAGGGAGGAGATAAAACCAGAGCGCTGGAATGTTGTTTACTGCTGAAGCTGGGAGAGGGGAGTTCATTACATACTTCTGTATTTGTCTGAAAAGTAACGAACCAGGCAAAAGAAAAACAACTGTATCTAATGGGAGAAAATACTTGCAAACTATGCATCTGGCAGGGGGAAATATCCAGAATATACAAGGAACTCAAACAACTGGATAGCAAAGAAACAAATAATCTGATTAAAAAATGGGCAAATGAGCTGAATAGACATTTCTCAAAAGAAGACATACAAATGGCCAACAGGTAAATGAAAAAAGTGCTCAACATCACTAATCATCAGGGAAATGCAAATCAAAACCACAATGAGACATCACCTCCCTCCAGTTAGAATGTTTGTTATCAAAAAGACAGAAAATAACCAATTCTGATGAGGATGTGGAGAAAGGGAAACTTTGTACACTGTTGGTGGGACTGTAAATTAGTACAACCATTATGGAAAACAGTATGGAGTTTCCTCAAAAAATTAAAAATAGAACTAACACGCAATCCAGCAATCCCTCTACCGGGAATAGATCCAAACGAAATGACATCCATATGTCCAAGAGACACCTGCACACTCATGTTCATTGCAGCTCCATTCACAATAGCCAGACATGGAATCAACCTAGGTGTCCATTGACAG